TCCCCAGTCTCTCCCTCCCCTTCCTTCGGGACCAGGACCTTCCTGTGTCCCCTGTGTCGAGGGGCGCCTCAGGGCTGCTCCTCACTCCTCCCAGTTTCCCCCGACAGAGGCTCCTCTGCAGACACTTCACATGGACGTGTGGGGCCCGGCCCCCGTCCGTGGGCAGGGTCACGAGCGCTACTTCCTGTTGGTGGTTGACGACTACTCGCGTTACACCACAGTCTTCCCCTTGCGCAGCAAGGGTGATGTCACTGAGGTGCTGATCGACTGGATCCGCGAGGCTCGTCTCCAGCTCAGGAGGAGCTTCGGCTCAGACTTTCCTGTTCTGCGTCTGCACTCTGACCGAGGTGGGGAGTTCTCCTCTCACCTTCTGCGAGACTACTGTCGTGCACAGGGGATCCGCCAGACCTTTACGCTTCCGGACTCTCCACAGCAAAATGGGATTGCTGGGCGCCGCATTGGCATGGTCATGGATGTCGCTCGTACGTCCATGATGCATGCGGCTGCCCCCCATTTTCTGTGGCCGTTTGCGGTTCGGTACGCGGCGCATCAGCTCAACCTTCACCCCAGGGTCTCTCGGCCCGATATGTCCCCAGTGTTACTGTGGACGGGGAAGGTCGGCGATGCGTCTGCGTTCCGTGTCTGGGGATCTCGGGCGTTTGTCCGCGACTTGTCTGCGGACAAGCTGTCCCCCCGTGCTGCTCCCTGTGTCTTCCTTGGCTTCCCCCCTGACGCTCCAGGGTGGCAGTTCTACCACCCCTCCTCTCGTCGTGTTCTGTCCTCCCAGGACGTCACGTTTGACGAGTCAGTCCCCTTCTACCGCCTCTTCCCCTACCGTACTCCTTCCCTCCCCCCCCCACCGGACTTCCTGGTACCAGTTCCCCCCCCGGTAGACCCCCTCCCCCCTCAGGTTCCTGCCCCTTCAGGTGTGTCCCAGGTAGACACAGTCGAGCCAGTCGAGGTTGCTGCTGAGTCTGGTCCTGCTGCAGGTGCAGAGTCTGGGGGTGCTACGCCTGCGGGTGCTGAGCTTGGGGGTGCTGCTGCTGGGGGTGCTGAGCCTGGGGGTGCGAGGCCGGGGGGTGCTGAGCTTGGGGGTGCTGCTGCTGGGGGTGCTGAGCCGGGAGGTGCTACGTCAGGAGCTGCTGAGCCTGGGGGTGCTGAGCCTGGAGGTGCGGAGCCTGCGACTGCTGGACCTGGGGGCTCTCTGGTTGCTCCGTCTCGGCGGGAGCCGCTCTCTCCACAGGAGCTGCGCGAGTGGTTTGCTCGCCGCTGGAGGCGTACTGCTGGAGCTGGAGCTTCTTCGACCGTCGAGGGTACTGGTGCCGCCGGTCCCGATGGTGCTACGCCTGCGGGTCCTACTGGAGCTGGGGCTGCTGAGGGCGTTGGTGCTGAGTCTGCTGCTGTCTGTCCTGACGGTGGTTCTGCTGCTGGTGCTGCTGGAGGTCCTGCCGCTGGAGGTGTTGGTGGCGCTGGTGCTGCCGCTGAGGGTGCTGGTGCTGTCCCTGCTGAGTCTGGAGCTGTCGCTCGGCCTCGGCCGTACTTCGTTCCGCTTCTGCAGCAGGTTCTTGGTCTTTCTCCTCCGGTAGAGTGTCCACAGCCTGTCCAGTCGCAGTCACTGTTGGAGCCTACCTCCTCACTGCCTGCTCCCTCTCCTTACACTGGTCCTACTGGAGGTCTTGCTGAGCGTCGTGAGCCTGCGTCTCGTCCCGCGTCGCCTGTTCGTGCTGCCCGCGCTAGTGGTCGTGGTTCGCGTCCGCGTCCTCCTCCTGTCCCTGGCACGCACCGGATGTCTCTGCGTTCGTCCACTGCTCCTCTGCGTGCCCTTTTGCCTTCTCCTCCTTAGTCCTCCCTTCCTGTGCTTACCGACCCAGAGTCGGACTCCCTTCGTGCTGCCAGTCCTACTGTCACGCGTCTGCTTGCTACTGTCGTCACTGACCCCTCTTTTGAGTCCGCTGCTGCGTCTGCTCTTGTCGCTGAGCTCGTCGACTTTGCTGCGTGCTGTCGTCTAGACTACGCTGCTAGTCTTGTTGCTGAGTCTGCGTCTGTCTGTCCTCCGTCCGTCGGGGGTGAGTGTGCTCTTGGCACGGACGTCCTAGAGGACAGGCAGGAGGAGTTCCAGTGTCTGGCTGCTGCTTCACCTCATCTCGCGTCTGTACTGCTTGCTCCTGAGGGAGACCCGGATGCACTAGACATCCCGACTCCGCGCTCTTACGCGGAGGCCGTAGAGGGTCCCTACTCCTCTCAGTGGCAGGCAGCTATGGATGCAGAGATGGCTTCCTGGAAGTCCACAGGCACCTACGTTGACGCGGTTCCCCCTCCTGGGGCGAACATCGTCAGTGGCATGTGGATCTTCAGGGTGAAGCGGCCGCCGGGCTCTCCACCTGTCTTCAAGGCGCGGTACGTCGCTCGTGGCTTCAGTCAGCGGCAGGGAGTTGACTACTTTCAGACCTTCTCTCCCACCCCGAAGATGACCACTCTTCGGGTGCTGCTCCACATAGCCGCTCAGCGCGACTACGAGCTTCACTCTCTCGACTTCAGTACTGCGTTCTTGCAGGGGAGCCTGCACGAGGAGATCTGGCTGCGCCGTCCACCTGGCTTCACTGGGACTTTCCCTCCTGGCACCCAGTGGAGCCTCCGACGGCCAGTCTACGGTCTCCGCCAGGCACCACGTGAGTGGCACGACACACTGAGGACTACACTTGCGGCCCTTGGGTTTGCTCCTTCTACTGCTGACCCGTCGCTGTTTCTGCGCACCGACACTTCACTGCCGCTGTTCTACATCCTCGTGTACGTCGACGACTTGGTCTTTGCCACAGCGGACACTGCTGGACTCGCCTACGTGAAGTCCGAGCTGCTGAAGAGACACACGTGCACAGACCTGGGTGAACTGCGCAGCTACCTTGGCTTGCAGATCACTCGGGACAGAGCACGCCGCACCATTACCTTGACTCAGTCACACATGGTGCAGCAGGTCCTTCAGCGCTTCGGCTTCACGTACTCCTCGCCTCAGGCCACTCCTCTGTCTACTCGCCACTCGCTCTCAGCTCTGCCTTCGGATGAGTCCGTAGAGTCGAGTGGCCCGTACCCAGAGCTTGTTGGCTGCCTCATGTACCTGATGACCTGCACACGACCTGACCTTGCATACCCTCTTAGCATTCTTGCACGCTATGTTGCTCCTGGGAGACACCGACCAGAGCACATGGCTGCAGCGAAGAGGGTATTGCGCTACCTGTGCAGTACGTCGGGCATGGGGCTAGTGCTTGGAGGGCGGAGTCCAGTGGTACTTACAGGTCACGCGGACGCTTCTTGGGCTGACGACCAGGCTACGCAGCGGTCGTCACAGGGTTACACCTTCAGCCTTGGCTCCGGCTCTGTCTCGTGGCGGGCTACTCGCTCGTCTTCGGTTCTCAGCTCGAGTTGTGAGGCTGAGATCTACGCAGGGGCCATGGCTGCACAGGAGCTTCGCTGGCTCACCTACCTGCTGACTGACCTTGGAGAGCCGCCTCGTTCTCCTCCAGTGCTGTACGTAGACAACAAGGCCATGCTGGCCTTTTGTCGAGAGCAGCGTCTGGAGCACAGAACGAAGCACATTGCTCTTCGCTACTTCCTTGCTCGTGAGCTACAGCAGCGTGGACAGTTGCAGCTTGCGTACGTGGCCTCTGAGGCCAACACTGCTGATGTGTTCACCAAGGCACTCGCGCCTTGTGACCATCAGCGCTTCTGCACCCAGCTGGGTCTTGTGCCTGTCTTGCCTCACTTGCTCTCCTCTTGACTTCACTTGTACTGTCACATATATATACCTGCTCTTGCTTGTCTAGCTTTATATATATATGTGTGTACTCCTGCATGTGAACTGGCCTTGTGGCCTTGCTCTTGTGCTCGGACTGTGTGGTGACTTTGTGATCCACCCTGAGCTTTGCTTTGCTTTGCTTGACTGGTCTTGTGACCCCTTGTTCTCCCCCACTTTGCCTATGGGGGTGTGTCAGAACATATATGTAGCTTATGCTGTTGTGTAGGCTACAGTGGGGTATACCATAGGGGGTACAACCCAATTAGGGTTTTGCTATTTGTACTCACTTCACTCATAGTTCATTCATTCTCGCTCTATTCTCCACAAATGTCATAAGTAGTATCTATTGTGCAAATTTATATACACTATAACATGATTTTTTACTAATAGTCTACTTCAACACCCGCCACCTCACCCCATCTTAAACCAATTGAGGTATCTAAATCCACTTGAATCTACCCACATCCACCTGAGTAAAACTCACAGCGTCAATGCAGCGCGCGTTTCCCTCCCACCTCCAGCCGCCTGATTCAAAATGTTTGAATGCTAGTAAGAGTAGGGCCTAGGCTTAGTAGCCTAGGCCAAAGGAAGTCGAGAGAGTTTAGGCAAAGAGTGGGTTCAATAGAGAGAGGGTACAAGGATATAGGCAAAGCAAGCAAGGTGCACCACCAAACAATGTAACACTACACTAACTACTGCTACAAGCAGTTTATATAAGAGATATATTTTAACACACACCTTAAACTGCTTGCCGCAGGAAGCTAATGCAGAGACACCCCCTGAAGGGGTACACCAAGCGCAGCAGAAGGAGAGGGCAAGTGAGGAGGAGGGACTATATGAGGAGAAACACTGGCAGGTGAAGCTGCTAGCTCCAAGGCCGCTGCTTCTTGGAACCTTCCCCAGTCCTCCAAATCTCCCTTCCACACTCCTCGACAACCCTAGCACCTCTCCCCCAGCTCCCCCACACCATCACACCCACCCCCCCCCCCCAGCAGCAGTTGCAGCAGTGGGAGAGAAAGGAGGAGGAGGGGAAGGGGATAACACACACCCATCACCCCCATACCCGCCACCCCCACAGCCTCCGTTCCACGGCTGCACGCGTAGCAAGGAGACGAAGAAGGGGGAAGGGGAAGAGCAGGGGCAGCATAGGTACGGGCAGGGCAGCCACGCGTGCAGGGCAACAGCGCGGAGCAGGGCAGAGCAGCCGCGCATGCAGGGCAACAGCGCGAAGCAGAGCTGGGGCAGCAACAGGTGGCAACGGGCAGCACAGGCACGGGCAGCAACGGGCGGCGACGGGCAGCACAGGCACGGGCAGCAACGGGCGGCAACGGGCAGCACATGCACGGGCAGCAACGGGCGGCAACGGACAGCACAGGCACAGGCAGCAACAGGCAGCAACGGGCAGCAACGGGCGGCAACGGGCAGCAACGGGCGGCAACGGGCAGCACAGGCACAGGCAGCAACAGGCAGCAACGGGCAGCACAGGCACAGGCAGCAACGGGCGGCAACAGGCAGCACAGGCACGGGCAGCAATGGGCCGCAACGGGCAGCACAGGCACGGGCAGCAACGGGCAGCAACAAGCAGCACAGGCACAGGCACCAACGTGCGGCAAAAGGCAGCACAGGCACGGGCAGCAACAGGCAGCACAGGCACGGGCAGCAACGGGCGGCAACGGGGAGCACAGGCACGGGCAGCAACAGGCGGCAACGGGCAGCACAAGCACGGGCAGCAACAGGCAGCAACGGGCAGCACAGGCACAGGAAGCAACGGGCGGCAACAGGCAGAACAGGCACGGGCAGCAACAGGCAGCACAGGCACGGGCAGCAACGGGCGGCAACGGGGTGCACAGGCACGGGCAGCAACAGGCGGCAACGGGCAGCACAGGCACGGGCAGCAACGGGCGGCAACGGGAAGCACAGGCACGGGCAGCAACGGGCGGCAACAGGCAGCACAGGCACAGGCAGCAACATGCAGCACAGGCACGGGCAGCAACGGGCGGCAACGGGGTGCACAGGAACGGGCAGCATTAGGCGGCAACGGGCAGCACAGGCACGGACAGCAACGGGCGGCAACGGGCAGCACTGGCACGGGCAGCAACGGGCGGCAACGGGGTGCACAGGCACGGGCAGCAACAGGCGGCAACGGGCAGCACAAGCACAGGCAGCAACGGGCGGCAACAGGCAGCACAGGCACGGGCAGCAATAGGCAGCAAAGGCACGGGCAGCAACGGGCGGCAAGGGGGTGCACAGGCACGGGCAGCAACAGGCGGCAATGGGCAGCACAGGCACGGGCAGCAACGGGCGGCAACAGGCAGCACAGGCACGAGAAGCAACGCGCGGCAACGGGCAGCACAGGCACGGGCAGCAACGGGCGGCAACAGGCAGCACAGGCAGAGGCAGCAACGGGCGGCAACAGGCAGCACAGGCACGGGCAGCAACAGGCAGCACAGGCACGGGCAGCAACGGGCGGCAACGAGCAGCACAGGCACGGGCAGCAACAGGCGGCAACGGGCAGCACAAGCACAGGCAGCAACGGGCGGCAACAGGCAGCACAGGCACGGGCAGCAACAGGCAGCACAGGCACGGGCAGCAACAAGCGGCACAGGCACGGGCAGCAACAGGCGGCAACGGGCAGCACAGGCACGGGCAGCAACGGGCGGCAACGGGCAGCACAGGCACGGGCAGCAACGGGCGGCAACGGGCAGCACAGGCACGGGCAGCAACGGGCGGCAACAGGCAGCACAGGCACAAGCAGCAACGGGCGGCAACAGGCAGCACAGGCACGGGCAGCAACAGGCAGCACAGGCACGGGCAGCAACGGGCGGCAACGGGCAGCACAGGCACGGGCAACAACAGGCAGCAACGGGGAGCACAGGCACAGGCAGCAGCGGGCGGCAACAGGCAGCACAAGCACGGGCAGCAATGGGCGGCAACGGGGTGCACAGGCACGGGCAGCAACAGGCGGCAACGAGCAGCACAGGCACGGGCAGCAACGGGCGGCAACTGGCAGCACAGGCACGGGCAGCAACGGGCGGCAACGGGCAGCACAGGCACGGGCAGCAACGGGCGGCAACAGGCAGCACAGGCACAGGCAGCAAGGGGCGGCAACAGGCAGCACAGGCACGGGCAGCAACAGGCAGCACAGGCACGGGCAGCAACGGGCGGCAACGGGCAGCACAGGCACGGGCAGCAACAGGCGGCAACGGGCAGCACAGGCACGGGCAGCAACAGGCAGCAACGGGCAGCACAGGCACAGGCAGCAACGGGCGGCAACAGGCAGCACAGGCACGGGCAGCAACGGGCGGCAACAGGCAGCACAGGCACAGGCAGCGACGGGCGGCAACAGGCAGCACAGGCACGGGCAGCAATAGGCAGCACAGGCACGGGCAGCAACGGGCGGCAACGGGGAGCACAGGCACGGGCAGCAAAAGGCGGCAACGGGCAGCACAGGCACGGCCAGCAACGGGCGGCAACAGGCAGCACAGGCACAGGCAGCAACGGGCGGCAACAGGCAGCACAGGCACGGGCAGCAACAGGCAGCACAGGCACGGGCAGCAACGGGCGGCAACGGGGTGCACAGGCACGGGCAGCAACAGGCGGCAACGGGCAGCACAGGCACGGGCAGCAACGGGCGGCAACGGGCAGCACATGCACGGGCAGCAACGGGCGGCAACGGGCAGCAAAGGCACGGGCAGCAACGAGCGGCAACAGGCAGCACAGGCAGAGGCAGCAACGGGCGGCAACAGGCAGCACAGGCACGGGCAGCAACAGGCAACACAGGCACGGGCAGCAACGGGCGGCAACGGGGTGCACAGGCACGGGCAGCAACAGGCGGCAACGGGCAGCACAGGCACAAGCAGCAACGGGCGGCAACAGGCAGCACAGGCACGGGCAGCAACAGGCAGCACGCGCACGGGCAGCAACAAGCGGCAACGGGGTGCACAGGCACGGGCAGCAACAGGCGGCAACGGGCAGCACAAGCACGGGCAGCAACGGGCGGCAACGGGCAGCACAGGCACGGGCAGCAACGGGCGGCAACGAGCAGCACAGGCACGGGCAGCAACGGGCGGCAACAGGCAGCACAGGCATAGGCAGCAACGGGCGGCAACAGGCAGCACAGGCACGGGCAGCAACAGGCAGCACAGGCACGGGCAGCAACGGGCAGCAACGGGCAGCACAGGCACGGGCAGCAACAGGCAGCAACGGGCAGCACAGGCACAAACAGCAACGGGCGGCAACATGCAGCACAGGCACGGGCAGCAATGGGCGGCAACAGGCAGCACAGGCACAAGCAGCAACGGGCGGCAACAGGCAGCACAGGCACGGGCAGCAACAGGCAGCACAGGCACGGGCAGCAACGGGCGGCAACGGGGAGCACAGGCACGGGCAGCAACAGGCGGCAACGGGCAGCACAGGCACGGGCAGCAACGGGCGGCAACAGGCAGCACAGGCACAGGCAGCAACGGGCGGCAACACGCAGCACAGGCACGGGCAGCAACAGGCAGCACAGGCACGGGCAGCAACGGGCGGCAACAGGCAGCACAGGCACTGGCAGCAACAGGCAGCACAGGCACGAGCAGCAACGGGCGGCAATGGGCAGCAGAGGCACGGGCAGCAACAGGCGGCAACGGGCAGCACAGGCACGGGCAGCAACGGGCGGCAACGGGCAGCATAGGCACGGGCAGCAACGGGCGGCAACGGGCAGCACAGGCACGGGCAACAACGGGCGGCAACAGGCAGCTCAGGCACAGGCAGCAACGGGCGGCAACAGGCAGCACAGGCACAGACAGCAACAGGCAGCACACGCACGGGCAGCAACGGGTGGCAATGGGCAGCACAGGCACGGGCAGCAACAGGCGGCAACGGGCAGCACAGGCATGGGCAGCAACAGGCAGCAACGGGCAGCACAGGCACAGGCAGCAACGGGCGGCAACAGGCAGCACAGGCACGGGCAGCAACGGGCGGCAACAGGCAGCACAGGCACAGGCAGCAATGAGCGACATCAGGCAGCACAGGCACGGGCAGCAACAGGCACGACAGGCACGGGCAGCAACGGGCGGCAACGGGGAGCACAGGCACGGGCAGCAACAGGCGGCAACGGGCAGCACAGGCACGGGCAGCAACGGGCGGCAACGGGCAGCACAGGCACATGCAGCAACGGGCAGCAACAGGCAGCACAGGCAGGCAGCCGTATCGAGTCCAGGAGCGGCGGCGCATGCAGCTGCAGGGTCGGCGCCGTGGGCTGCTGCTGGGGCGGCTCGCGGGGTCCCTAAGGCGGCATTGCGGGCTGCTGCAGGGTCGGAGCCGCGGGGTCCAGGGGCGGCTGCGGAGGTCCATAGGCGGCTTCACTAGGGGCAGCTGCTCCAGGGGCCAAGGGCGGGTGCTCTGGGTCCAGGGGCGGCTGCAACAGGGGCGGCTGCACCAGGGGCCAAGGGCGGCTGCGCAGGTCTAGGGGCGGCTGCTCCAGGGGCCAGGGGCGGCTGCTCTGGGTCCAAGGGCGGCTGCTCCAGGGGCGGCGCTGGTGCATGGCAGAGGCGGTGGCCAGGGGGGAGGGCGCCGCGACGAGCAGGGACGACGCCCAAGGGGCGCCGCGAAGAGCAGGGACGGCGCCCAAGGGGCGCCGCGACGAGCAAGGGCGTCGCCCCAAGGGCGCCGCAACGAGCAGGGGCGGCGTCCAGTGGGCGCCGCGACGAGCAGTGGCGACGCCCCGCGAGTCCCGCAGGGGCGTCGCGACGAGCAGGGCGACGCCGCGGGTCCCGTAGGTGCGTCGCCACGATCAGGAGCGGCGCCTCGCAGGGCGCCGCAAAGTGGAGGGTACGGGCGGGCAAAACAGGCCCGCGCGTGGACGTGAGGCAGGCACGCAGGCGGCGTGAGGGCAGGCCGCGCGCGGGGCAGGAAGATGCCGCGCGCCTAGGGCGCACGGCGGGCAGAAAACCGCCGTGCGCCCCGAGCACACGGCGAGAAAAATACGCCGCGCGCCCGAGGCGCGCGGCAGGACGATAGGCAGCGGAAGCACATTGGTGGGCCCGTTAAGGAAGGCAGCAGGAAGGTACCTGCTCTGATACCATGTTAGAATGCTAGTAAGAGTAGGGCCTAGGCTTAGTAGCCTAGGCCAAAGGAAGTCGAGAGAGTTTAGGCAAAGAGTGGGTTCAATAGAGAGAGGGTACAAGGATATGGGCAAAGCAAGCAAGGTGCACCACCAAACAATGTAACACTACACTAACTACTGCTACAAGCAGTTTATATAAGAGATATATTTTAACACAACACTCTTCACATTGTATAAAAGATCAAACACGTGCGTATGACATTTGCTTAATTGGGACAATATGAATTGCAAGGCAAAACATCAACCACATAAGAAGGAAAAAGAAAAGCAGCGAAGATGGGGTGATCCTATGACAATTCAACAACTCAAAATGCCATTCTGTATGTAATGTACAACAAGAGAAGCATGGTATAAACATTGAGTTATTCGAAATAGAAATCATAAACAGAAGTTAATACAATACAGAATAGCAGCTTTGAAATAACTCAAGAGTTATACCTTCAGATGATGAAAATCAGAGACCAGCCTTCACAAAAGCCTGTAGCTGTCGTCCTAACAAACAACATGCAACAAAAAACCAGCAAACAGAAATACACCAACACATTCAACAAAGTAGAAATTAAGAAAAATACTTGCATAGCTACATTGGCGAACTGAGAAAATGAACGAGGATGTTTTGACTAAGGGAAAGTTGGGTACAAGTACAAACCCTAGAAAGCTGTACCCCATATGTGTTACCCCACTATAGCCTACAGAAGCTATGTCATATAAATCTGACACACCCCCATAAGGAAAGTGGGGGAGAACAAGGGGTCACAAGACTAGTCAAGCAAAGCAAAGCAAGCTCAGTGTGGATCACAAAGTCACCACATATTCTGAGCACAAGTTCAAGGCCACAAGGCCAATTCACATGCAGGATTACATATATATATAAGGCTAGACAAGCAAGAGCAGGTGTATATATATATGCAACAGTACAAACAAGGTCAAGGGGTGAGCAAGTGAGGCAAGGTTGGCACAAGACCCAACTGAGTACAGAAGCGCTGATGATCACAAGGCGCAGATGCCTTGGTGAAGATATCAGCAGTGTTGGCTACATAGGCCACGTACGCAAGTCGCAGCTGACCACGCTGCTGTAGCTCACGAGCAAGGAAGTAGCGGAGAGCAATGTGCTTCGTTCTGTGCTCCAGTCTCTGCTCTCGACACAAGGCCAGCATGGCCTTGTTGTCTACGTACAGCACTGGAGGAGAACGAGGCACCTCTCCCAAGTCAGTCAGCACGTAGGTGAGCCAGCGAAGCTCCTGTGCAGCCATGGCCCCGGCGTAGATCTCACCCTCACAACTGGACCCGAGAACAGAAGACGAGTGGGTAGCGCGCCACGATACAGAGCCGGAACCAAGGCTGAAGGTGTAACCCTGTGACGACCGCTGCGTAGCCTGGTCGTCAGCCCAAGAAGCATCTGCGTGCCCAGTGAGGACCACTGGACTCTGCCCTCCAAGCACAAGCCCCATGCCCGACGTACTGCACAAGTAGCGCAACACCCTCTTCGCTGCAGCCATGTGCTCCGGTCTGTGTCTCCCAAGAGCAACATAGCGTGCAAGAATGCTAAGAGGGTATGCAAGGTCAGGTCGTGTGCAGGTCATCAGGTACATGAGGCAGCCAACAAGCTCTGGGTACGGGCCACTCGACTCTACGGACTCATCCGAAGGCAGAGCTGAGAGCGAGTGGCGAGTAGGCAGAGGAGTGGCCTGAGGCGAGGAGTACGTGAAGCCGAAGCGCTGAAGGACCTGCTGCACCATGTGTGACTGAGTCAGGGTAATGGTGAGGCGTGCTCTGTCCCGGGTGATTTGCAAGCCAAGGTAGCTGCGCAGTTCACCCAGGTCTGTGCACGTGTGTCTCTTCTGCAGCTCGGACTTCACGTGGGCGAGTCCAGTAGTGTCAGCTATGGCAAAGACCAAGTCGTCGACGTACACGAGGATGTAGAACGGCGGCAAAGAAGTGTCGGTGCGCAGAAACAGGGACGGGTCGGCAGTAGAGGGAGCAAACCCAAGGGCCGCAAATGTAGTCCTCAGTGTGTCGTGCCACTCACGCGGTGCCTGGCGAAGACTGTAGACTGGCCGCTGGAGGCTCCACTGAGTGCCAGGAGGAAAAGACCCAGTGAAGCCAGGTGGGCGACGCAGCCAGATCTCCTCGTGCAGGCTGCCCTGCAAGAAAGCAGTGCTGAAGTCAAGAGAGTGTAGCTCATAGTCGCGGTGAGCAGCTATGTGCAGCAGTACCTGAAGAGTGGTCATCTTCGGGGTGGGAGAGAAGGTCTGAAAGTAGTCAACTCCCTGCCGCTGACTGAAGCCACGAGCCACGTAACGCGTCTTGAAGACAGGCGGAGAACCCGACGACCGCTTCACCCTGAAAATCCACATGCCACTGACGATGTTCGCCCCAAGCCGGGGAACCTCGTCAACGTAGGTGCCTGTGGACTTCCAGGAAGCCATCTCTACATCCATAGCTGCCTGCCACTGAGACGAGTAGGGACCCTCTATCGCCTCCGCGTAAGAGCGCGGAGTCGGGATGTCAAGTGCATCCGGGTCTCCCTCAGGGGTAAGCAGTACGGACACGAGATGAGGTGAAGCAGCAGCCAAACACTGGAACTCCTCCTGCCTGTCCTCAAGGACGTCCGTGCCAAGGGCACACTCACCCCCGACGGACGGAGGACAGACAGACTCAGACTCAGCGAAAAGACTGGTGGCGTAGTCTAGACGACAGCAAGCAGCAAAGTCGACAAGCTCAGCAACTAGGGCAGACGCAGCAGTGGACTCAAAGGAAGGGTCAGTGACGACAGTAGCAAGGAGACGCGTGACAGTAGGACTGGCAGCACGAAGGGAGTCCGACTCCGGGTCGGCAAGAGCAGGAAGAGAGGACTCAGGAGGAGAAGGCAAAGGGGCACGCAGAGGAGCAGTGGACGGACGCAGAGACATCCGGTGCGTGCCAGGGACAGGAGGAGGACGCTGACGCGAACCATGACTACTAGTGTAAGCAAGACGGACAGGCGACACAGGGCGAGACGCAGGCTCACGACGCTCAGCCAGACCTCCAGTAGGACCAGTGTAGGGAGAAGGAGCAGGCAGTGGGGAGGCCGGCTGTAACTGTAACTGTGACGGGACAGGCTGTGGACACTCTAAGGGAGGAGGAGGACCAGTAGAAGGCGGGAGACCAAGAACCTGCTAAAGGAGCGGAACGAAGTACAGCCGAGGCCGCGCGGCAACTCCAGACACAGCAGGGACAGCATCAGTACCCCTAGCAGCAGCACGAGCGCCAGCAGCACCTCCAGCTCCTGTACCTCTAGCAGTAGCAGTAGCACACCCAGCAGGACCGCCTCCAGGACCGACAGCAGTAGCCTCAGCGCCAACACCCTCAGCAGCTCCAGCTCCAGTCGTATCCGCAAGCCCAGCAGCTCATGTACTCCCAGTACGAGCACCTCTGGGACCCGCGGCACCAGCACCCTCAGCAGCCGGAGAGCCGCCAGCTCCAGCAGCACGCCTCCAGCGCCGGGCAAACCACTCGCGCAGCTCCTGTGGAGAGAGTGGCTCCCGCCGAGACGAAGCATCCGGAGAACCTCCAAGCCCAGCACCGCCAGACGCCACACGAGCAGGCCCAGCTCCCTCAAGCTCCGCACCCCCAGGCTCAGCACCTCCGGGCGTAGCACCCCCTGGCTCAGCACCCCCAGGCGTAGCACCCCCAAGCTCAGCACCTTGAGGCTCAGCACCCCCAGTGGTAGCACCCCCAGGCTCAGCACCCCCAGGCTCACCACCCCCAGTAGTAGCACCCTCAGGCTCAGCACCCCCAGGCGTAGCACCCACACGCTCAGCACCCCCAGAGTTAGCACCCCCAGGCTCAGTACCCTCAGCAGCACTAGAGTCACCAGTAACCTTGACAGGCTCGACTGCGTCTACCTGGGACACACCTGAAGGGGCGGGACCCTGAGGGGGGAGGGGGTCTACCGGGGGGGGACTTGGCACAAGGAAGAGCGGTCGCGGGGGGAGGGACGGAGTGCGGTAGGGGAAGAGGCGGTAGTAGGGGACCGGCTCGTCAAACGTGACGTCCTCGGAGGACAAAACACGGCGAGAAGTGGGGTGGTAGAACTGCCACCCTGGCGCGTAAGGGGGGAAGCCAAGGAAGACGCAAGGAGCAGCACGAGGGGACACCTTGTCTGCAGACAAGTCGCGGACAAACGCCCGAGATCCCCAGACACGGAATGCAGACGCATCGCCAACCTTCCCCGTCCACAGCAAAGCTGGGGAGGTCTTCG